GTAAATAAACAACAGTTCACTCGCGAGGAGAGTGAGGATGGCATGTGTACAGTGTGCATGCTGTGTGCGTGTGTGTGTGTGTGTGTGTGTGTGTGTGAGAGAGTTATTGTGAGGCATTCAGGTAGAATAATGGAAGCTCAGTATGCGAGTTGTCTGCAGGTTACTCAGGGAATTCAGGACACAGAAACATTATCCACCTCTGGCTTTCTCTCTCTGGGTCTCTGTCAGGTCCTCTGTATCTCTGTTGCTCTCATCGACTCTCATCCCTCCTTTTCTCCTGGTGTCTCTTTTCTTCTTCTCTGTTGTCTCTCTCAGATCCTCTATCTATCTATCTATCTATCTATCTCCCCTGTCTCTGCTTTCTTTCTGAATTACTTTCTGAATTTTGTTTGAATCATCACCTCTCTAAAAACATTGTGAACTTTGTGAAGGTAGGATTTATTGCAGGACCGCATTGTTGCTATACTGTAGGTGTGTCTAATAAACTCACAGTCTTCTTGTGTCAAGGTTCAAGAATACATGTATCCAATATACAAAAACATGCTGCAGGTAATTGATGTCTGCTACCCCTCCAACACACACATACTGTACCTCCAACCATGCACAGAAATAGCTCTCATTGTTGCTTGTACAAGGATAATAGATATCTGTGTGTGTGTGTGTGTGTGTGTGTGTGTGTGTAACAGATAAATCGCTTTGCTCTGTGTTTATGGTGGTTTTGTTGTTTCGGCCCCAGCAGCCTGGCTCGGACCAATAAGAATTCCTGATGTGGTATCCTGGCAGTGGGTGGGTTCTCTATGGCCATCACCGACTTGGCAGGAGAGACAACGGTCTCCCGAGTGCTCCGCTTTGTGCCGTCCTTTGGTCTAGCATTGGGCTCGTTCCAATCTGACTTTTCAGAGAAACGATGTGCGATGACGTCCGATCGTCGAGAAAAGCGGATGCAGCAAGAAGACAATGACACAGATACATATGCTTAGCTGCTCATCCTCTGAAAGGAGGCAGCAGACAAACAGGGTGGCTGCTTTGAAGAACGTGTGTGTTTCCTACTGTGTGTGTGTTTAAAGTTTTTATATGGGAGGACAGATATGCTTTGTGTTGATTGAAACACACTTTTTGAAACAAGCATATATAGATTGTGCATGCATATATGTGTGTGTGTGTAAAACTCCCCCTCCGCCCTTCCGGTGCCCCTCATAGTGTTTAATGTTTAATTGAGGTTCACAGGAACAGTGATAATGGTTAACATAGTGCTTTTGAATTCCCTCAACTCTGCCTCCATTCATAAGAGTTAAAGGCAGAGGACTGTTCATTCTCATTAAACCAGTCTGTCATTATGAATACATATATAGTACTGTAATGAATACTGAACGGCATATTAAGAATACAACAAATCAAATGATACATTTGAATACATACAAAACATTTAACCTTTTTGAAGATTGTTTATGTAATTCTGGTTTAGCCTTTTCAGCGACATGGGTCATACTTTTAATTTGACCCCAGCACGGTGTGGAATGTGCACTGGACTAAACAATATAACTTCACCCACAGACGGTCACCCAACATGTCACTGAGGCTGCACAGTTTAAGCAAACACCCGTGTGAAGTGGAAACTGTAGTCACACATTCCCAGAGTGCATGCATGCATGCCTGTGTGTGTGTGTGTGTGTGTGTGTGTGTGTGTGTGTGTGCGCGCGCCCTTGTAGGTATGTTTGATTTTGTAGCTGATATGTCACACATTACCAAGAGTCATCTAGTTCACATCATTCACACTTCAATCTCTGAACCCGTCGGCTATCGGTCTGACGACAGAGAAGCCTCTGGGGTCAAGAGTCTGTGATTCTGGGGTTTCCGGTGTAGCCAGAGAGTTTACAAGCTCATTTTAAAAATTCATTTTCTCATCCTCGGCTGCTCAACCTATCGCCGGCCAGAATATTAATATTGGTATACAAAATGAATATCCCAGCATTTAGTTCTCTTTGGTTAATTTATTCGTCTCTCCCTCCTTTTCCTTCAGGGCTCCGCTGTAGAAAGTTCTCTCCAGAATATGCCTTGTCTCCATGGTAACAGACCTCAGGCAGACCCGGGAAAACATCCCCTCTAGTCCAACCTACCTGAGCCTGGACGGTACTGAAGAGGATTTTAACACACATTTACACAATCACAATCAATTCTTGAAAGTGTCCTTCGTTACTCCATGAAGTTATTTTGCCAATTCAAGTGCTTTCAGAGGACTCAAAATGCCTAAAATTGTGCTTGAAAAATTATAATTTGAGAAGGTTCTACTCTTTTGGGATGACAATGCAAACTACTTTGTGTTCCCTCTAAATGGTCCCCTAAAACCAGGAGGACAACTTTATTCAAAAGACAAAAAAATGTCCGGGATATATTCATTTGTAATTAAGGCTTCTTAAACCGGGCAGCACCAGTCCCTTTACTGGTCTGAAAGGAGTCCTAAACCAGGACCAGGATGCACCAGCTGTTCAGCCAGGTGCTGGGCCAGAGGGATCTGTCCAGAGCAGGTGACCTGTTTTCTCTGGAGGACACAGAGATCGAAGCCTGTCTGTCTCAGGCTCTGGGCCAGATCAAGGCCATCTCCTGCTCACAGGTCAGTATGCAGAACCAACACACATGGATGTTAATTATCAAAAAATGTTACAAGGGCAAATGTCCATTTGAATAATTATTCATGTTCTCATCCATAATTCATCATTTTGTCCTTCATTTATCACCGCATCCTTAATTGTGTACCCTCTTACCGTCTGCCGGCTGACAGGACTATTTGACCAATGACAATGACCAGGCAGTGGTGGAGATTTGCATAACGCGCATCACCACGGCCATAAGGGAGACGGGCTCCATCGAGCAGCACAGCACGGCGCTGGTGGGGCTGTGGGAGTCGTGTCTCGAACATAACCTCACCCCGCAAGGTGAAAACACAGAGGACACGCCGCATACCAAGATAGCCTCGGACATCACCAGCTGTATCCTGCAGGTACACATACACACACACACACACACACACACACACACACACACACTAGACATAGTTTTGCAGCGCTCTCTTTTTTTTGTTTGAAGCACAAACGCCACATACAGTACATACCTCTGCACATACCTGTTGACACTTTGAGAAATGAATCTGTATAATGTGATACTTCAGCAGTGAATTTGCCAGACAGGGTTTTGGTCTGTGTAAAAAAAGTAGTGGCGCATAGAAGCAGGTTTACGGTTGATACCCACCTCTGGACAGGAGGATTTACCGTGTACATAAAAATGACCACAGATATGTATCAGTGCACACCTTGCCGGCATTGGAGTTAGCTAGCTAGTCAGGCACACACAAGTACAAATATGAAAAGCACATACCAAGCCACATTGTTCAACTTTTTTCTGTCTGTCTGACAATGAGGATCCTGAAAAGAGTAAAATCTAGAAGAGCTCATCCTCCCAGCTCGAGAACCGCTGGTTTAAACCAACACTCCACGCAAAAATACGTTATTTTTATTGTTTTGTGACATTTGTTTTACTTAATGCTGCAGCTAACAGGCTAATCATAGGCTTCAACTATCTACTGTAAGGCAGCAGACAGCAGGGTGAAAGGTATTTTGGGTATTTGGAAGTAAAAGTAGATTAGGAAGATTGAGGTAAAGTGGCTATACATGTATGAATTTGAACATCCATCCATCATGCAACATATTCGTAGGTGTTTTTTTCCTTCAAGAGCAAATATTCTTTATGTAATCACTGCTGAGGGTCTTTTAAAATGTAAATCTCAATCTTGCCTACTTACCCCATCAGACCTCTGCTTCTAAAAGGCTTAAAAGCAAAGGAACTCTCTCTCACTCTCTCTCTCCCCCCTTCCTTTTCCTTCGGGAATGTGCTTAATTCCATCTTAATGAGACCGATTCTTGAGGCTAAGGCACACACACACACACACACACACACACACACACACACACACACACACACACACACACATACACACGTAGAGGTGAAACTAAAAGTTCTGACAGCTCTGACAGCAACTCCAGGCTCTGATGTCTAAACTCTAAACTGTTATCAGGAAAGCACTTCTCTCTCCTCACTCTCTTTCATTCTCAATCTTTTTTCCTCATGATTTCATTCTACCTATTTTCCCTTTCTCCCTATTTCTTTCTTTTTTTACCTTCTCTTACCCTCCGACTATCTTTATCTCTTCTATGATCTCTTCTACTCTTTTTGTCTTCCTGTCATTTCGAATCGACAGATGCACAAACACTCTTCTTAACCCTCCACTGAGACTCCTACAGAGAGGAGCAAAAAGCAAGACTGCAGGAAGGAAGATTTAGATTCGCTCACTGCTTGTGCGCAACACGCACACATGTATGAGCCCGCAGATTTCCGGCTTATGATGGCATCTACTGGCTCTAAATCTTGCTGATTAGATTAAAGAGAGAGACGGGACATCCATACATGAGGAAAATGGGCAAAACATTTCATGTATGTTCGGATTAAAATGAGGGCCTGTCAAATGAATGTAATGTAAGGTAGATTGATAGATTGTTTGATGGATCATCCTGACTGAAAAACACTTTTTGGTGATGCTTTGTCTGCACTTCCATCTAGTGGCTGAATAGAGATGTGACAGACAAAGAGAGAGAAAGAGGATACATTTTCAACTCATCTGGTTGAAAGGCATTCTGGGTATTCTGAAGTAGAAGTAGATGAGGAAGGTTGAGTTTGAAATAAGTTGCTTAAAGATAAATTGTAACGTCCAAAGGGGTGCAGTTAACATTGCAGATAAATGATACATCATTAAACACATCCAAAGGTGCTGATGGTCTTAGAAATGTAAATCTAAAGTTTCACCATTAGAACTCCGCAGCAAAAGGGGGGGGGGGGGTCCCCTCTTCCTCCATCTTTCTGTGTCCTTGTCACACACACACACACTCACTCACAAACACACAGACCTGACATCAGTCTGTCCTGTTGATGGTGCTAGTGCATTTCAAATCCCTTTCCTCATTCTTCCTTCTGCAAACGTTCACAGGGACAAAACGTCTGCACGTGTCTGCATCCTCAAACACAACACACTTTCTTTCCTTTCCCCTACGTATTTGAATCGTTTCATGTTTTGTCATGACCGAGGACTAGAGAGAGCCAGATCTCTTGTGCTTAAATAAAAGCCCTTAATAAATACAAGCCTTAAATATAAGCCCCCGTGTCTCCTTCCTTTCCCTTGAATGTACGGTGATTGCTGTCCTCTCAACCTCCTCTCTTCTTTTGTCCCCTCAGAACTACAGTTGTCCCTCGGTCATGGTGCTGGCCGTCCCGGTAGCGGTGCGGTTCCTGCAGAGCGGCAACAGGGAGCTGAGCAGGAACATGTCCAGTTATCTCTCCCTGGCTGCTATCGCCAAGGCCGATCTGCTGGCCGAGCACACGGAGGCCATGACGCTCAGCGTGCTGGGAGGTAGGACGCGCATACACATGTTCATACACAGAAGAGGATGCACACATATTAACTAACGTGCACACAACATATTTTAGACGTTGCTGTTAAAAAGGGGTGAAGTGAGGGAGTTTTACCCTTTCAAATTCAATGCAATGCATTACAGTTCTTCTCCTTTCCTTAGTTTAGGCTGCTCCAGATAGATACAGACGAAATGTGTGTGTGTGTGTGTGTGTGTGTGTGTGTGTTGAGGTGGGGTATGAGTGTGTGCCTTTTGTAGGGACTATAAAGAGAAGGAGAGTCACAGAAAGAGCTTTGCAGGAGAGCTCTGCTTAAGAATGAACATTAAGAGGATTTCATTACAGGCGTTGATGTATTTATTTAGCTGTTGATGGTTGACATGTGGGTTGGGCTTGTAGAAGTAGTGCTTATATGCTCTTACTGTGAGGGCTGCAACAATGGGATTAGCTGGTTTACTGGAGTGGAAAAATGAATTACTGTTGTAATCTGCTGTCGTTGTAGTAGCAAACCACAGACTTATCCTACGATGAGCTGTAGTGAATGCTTTTATAATGATTGCCAGCTCACCAGGGATAAATATGATGGTAAATAACAGCTGCTGCAAATCATCTTTTCCCCCGATGGCCCTTTGATGCGTAAGACGTAGTTATTGTGTGGAGAAAAGGACAACTGATGTTTCGTGTTGTGCAGTTTCTTCTTTTTGTCTGTGTTAATATTCTTTTTCAACTTGGTTGTATTTTGTCTACTTTACTGTTTGATTAAAACAAAAAAAACATGTTCATTGCTTTCATTGATTTGCCCCACAAATAGTTAAATTCCAAACAATTGAAGAAAATCAAATGTTTTTTTTCCCCAATGACCAAATAATATGAATCTACCTGAGACACGTATCCTCTTAAGGTGGACTTGTCCTCAGGCATCGATCTGATCCGTACTGTCTTCAACTTCCCCTCTTAATGGTTATAGAGGGAAACTGAGCTGACCTCTGGTCAGATGTTTAAGACAGCTATTCCCTGAAACCTGTTTTTCTGCCTTTTAACGTGTGTTTTTTTCAACACAGATGATTTTCAAGCTCATTAGTGTGGTGTAGGTGTCTAAAGAACCGTAGTTAGCACTGCCTGATGGAGATCTGTTTACACCTCAGGCTTGTACACACACACACACACACACACACACAAATGCTCCATTAATACGAGGGGGTTGCCATGCAGCGGTTCAGCTAAAAGAAAACAGTTTTCTTTGTCTAGAAATAATTTAGGTCTCATTATGTGTACATGATTCTGTGTAGAGATGCACAGATGTGTTTTTCTTGCTTTTGGCAACATGCTGAACTATCACCTCACGCGCACACACACACATACACATACACACACACACACACACACACACACACACACACACACACACACACTTACTATCGCATGGTGCTTATCACCTCATGCAGCACCAAAGTGAGGCGCCCACTACAGTGATGCTCCCACCGAGCACATTGTCTGCCAGCAGCTCAGCACATGAAACAGCTTAGCGATCTGCTGTCTGGTTTATTATACAAGTGAAGTTTAGCCAGCGTTTGGGCTTAGAGCGTTAAATAGTTGAAAGACACTTTACACATTTTGGTCATAAAACTGTGGCTGAAAATAGAGATGCCCTGCCAACGGGGAGACAGAAAGCAGGTGTTTCTCTGATTAGAGTTGCTATATGAGACTAATAAGATTATTTTTTTCACTTGAGTACTGTGTTGAAAACCTATGCCTGTCAACATGGCTTACTGTTGAAGTCAGATGTTGATGCTAAAGAAAGAAACACCACGGCTTCTTTCCAGAAAAACAACAAATCAAATCAGCTAACGCTATTTCTTTTTCTGGTGCATTTTGGAAGCTTTTTTTGAGATTTCTGCTCTATTTAAGGTACTCCGTTAACTATTTAACCGTTAGTAGCGCTGTGGAGCAACGTTTATACAAGTATGTCCATGTTTTGCTTGCATTGTGCAGAAAGATGAGGATGCACATGCAAGTGAGCACGAAGGCGACATGTCACATGTCACATGTCATGTTATGCTGATCGACTTTGGAAGGCGGTAATGGCGAAGAAGCGTAGCAATGCGCCAGCAAAGGCAAAGAGCAATAAGACAGCAAGATTTAAAAAAATGGACGTAAATATTGCATGATTTAAAATATTGAAAACGATCTGCTTTACAAAGGTTTTACAAGGAAATAAATGTTTGTTACCTCTCAAGTATACACACAATTATTTTAGGAGAGAAACATTGTATGTAAACATAGTTGTTTTCTTTGTTTACAAGAAAACTCCACAGGGCACCCTTATAGAAATTATTAAAACTTAAAAGGGAATATTTTAAGTTAAGTTTAACTAATTGAAAATCTATTACACTCAACTGTAATAGTTTGTTCAACCTCTCCAACTTTTTTGTTCCATCTGAGTAATCTAATGAGCTATGCGCTCGGTGTTGGGCCAAAGTCAAACTCAGTTAATTTGATCGAATAGAGATGCAAATAAAGTCCCACGCGTGTATCAGCGTGTCATATCAATGCGTTTCTTTTTGGATGTTTACAGTTTGTTGTCCACGTGCAGGCGTCAAAGTCCCGTTGGTCAGCCGCTCAGGGGAGATACAGTCGTAATGTTTGTCACTGAACTTGGACCTGGAAATTTCTTTCCAATAGATTTATGACCTCCCCAAAGTCATCACAAAATATATCACACTTCAGGACACACGCGTGTTCACCAGCACACAGTGAAACCTGGTCTTTCTGTGCGAGCTTAGAGAGAAACAGAAACAGATCGGAGGGATAGAAAGTTCTATGCAAATAGACACTAAAAAGCTTCCAGTGGCTGTGACCTGGCTGGACAGGGGATGACGAACTGATGGTTGGTCTTATGACATCTGGAACAACACACACACACACACACACACACACACACACACACACATACAGTATATACTGAGAGAAATGATGAAAGTGAACAAGGCTTTCTTGAGGGCTTTATTAAAGTAAGTTCAGATTTACGTTTCCTTGGGCAGTTTTTATTGCATCCTCGGCAGTTTCAAATTTTTACCCCCACTGCTGAGACTCTGAACATTTCAACCTCATATTGCCTCTTTAAGCCTAGCTAGCCCCTACCTCTCTCCTCCCCTCTCGAACCGCAACATAAACACAACACAACATAAACACAAGACTACAAACACATGCCAAACTGCACACACACACACACACACACACACACACACACACACACACACACACACACACACACACACACACAAAGCTTGTAGAAGTAAAAACAGATGACATCTCTTTTTCCCAGAAGCCCCTCTGTTCAGGATGTGAGCTGATGTAATGGGATTCGGGTGACGTTGATGATGAGTTGGTCACACTGTGCATGTGTGTGTGTTTACACTTTAAGTTTGTTACCAAGACCTGAGGTCGCCACATGCTGGTTTTTACTGATTTCATCCGTTTCTCTGTGTTCTGTGGAAGGCAATGTGTTGGCTGCATTTTGTCCTTTGTTGTATCTCTATTATATATCTGTTATACATCTGTTAGTTCCATGTAAAGCAAGCTTTATGAGAATGTGTGTGCGTTTACTAGCTACAGGAAGCCAGAAGCAGGATATAGCATGAAGGTTTTTATAGCTTGCTAAAATAAGGGCTTGGCCATTATCGGATGTCTCACACACACACACACACACACACACACACACACACACACACACACACTCACACACATACACACACTCACAACAGTACTTGCACACAGAAACATATGGCATTGCTTTGGCCCCATAAGGATTTTGGAGCTAAGAGTTTCTTCCTTCTCCAAGTAAAACCAGATCTTAAGGCAACACTGACATTTGGAATGTGTCATCTGTCAAAGTTTTATTTCTTTTCAGGCTCCCCTGCTGCGAGACATGTGTACTTACTGTACTTTGTCTCGTAAGGTTAAGAGAAGGCAGAGTGAGGAAAGTCCGGGAGGGTGGGTTGGATGGCAGTCGGTGTGAAAGGTGACGTTTCCATTTCACAACAGGTTACAGGAACGGTTGGAGACTATCCAGAGGCTGTAGCTGCCGGAGAAACCTGTTATATTTCACTAATGGGCAAGTAGCAGGATGGGCCTCAGTAAACTGTAAGCATGTGTGAGCTGCACAACAAGTTGCGTGCTATTTGTCAGCTGGTGCAGATGTATTTTCAGTGTCATTGCCGGATTAAATTGAATCGACAGGAGATTGTATACATTATATGAAAGGATCTTTATAGCTGTGTCTTGAATTTGATGCAGATACAGATGCAGATGTATTGTCCGTTTCAAACATGCGTTTCAATTCATATTTCAGCAGCTTAGGTTCAATGTCATTTTTTACAGTTGGACTTTTCCCCTCAACTAACAATGAAGTGCCTTTAAAAAGGCAAACACCTAACTCGATGAACTCAGCAGAGGTCTTCCCTGATGAGACTTAAAAATGTAAAGATTGACTCCAGGTGCAAAGTTGTGTGCAGGACAAATCTCACCTGTGGTTACGGGGGGAGTATTGTGGTTCACATGGTAGAACTGGTTGTCCGCTAACTGTAGGTTTGGTGTCCTTGAGCAAGTCACAGATTGTTCCCAATGAGCAGGCCAGAGCCCTGCATGGTAGCTCGTCTGCTACCAGCGAGTGTGTGCGTGAACGAATGAAAGTCAAAACCCTTTAAACCATAAGCACACTTGATAAGACTTAGAAACGACAGAAACACGCTGACACTGCTTATCCAGCAAGAGAATATTTAATATAACTTGAAATGTTTATTCATATCTCATTCTCCATTCATCCAGTCATGTTATGCAAAATAGATTTATGTACAAAATACATTCAATTTCACCTTTTCGCAAGAATATCATAAGCAATTTACATTATAATACAAGACAACTTAGTTCATAAATGATTAGTGTGTAAACATTGTCCTCAGTTTCTCTTAAAAATTACAAAACAAAATCAATGTCAATCTCCCATTACAAATATAACGGTTTTACTTCTATTACTTTATGCAGTTTCAAAAAAGAACAGACAAATATAAAATTGAATTGCTCACAAAAAAAGAACAAAGAAGAACTGGAATTATATAACTCATATAAATGTTAACTCTACACATTTGGAAATATAAGGTCTTAAAAATATTTTAAAAGCTTTTACAAGAAAATGATGAGAATTAATTTTATAAGTTGCTGAAATAGTTTTGTCTGAAGCTGTTTCTGCAGTTGCTGGTTGTCCATGAATGAAAGCAAGTAGAAAATGTTTCAGTCAGGTATTTTATACATTATATGTTGCACTGCGTATGACAACACATCATCAACACATTAGTGTGGTACTGCTGCTTTTAATTGGGAGAGATGACAGTCAATCTCAAACATCTAATAATAATTGTATCTACAAGACTGCAAAGATAGAAAACAAAGATGTTGTGTTATATTAATGCTTAACATGTTTAACATTGACAATTGAATAACTGCACTAGCTATTTCTTTACAAATCTAGATAGAAAGAGATAAAATGCCATCGTTACTCTAACAACTGCATCACTTTACAGTTACAAGATAATCTCTTGTTATTTTCCTCGGTCTGCTGATTACTCTGTTTACTGGCTCACAACCCATTCACTTTAACAATAGACTCTTTGTCTTTCCTGCAGTCTAATTGCCAGAGCCTTTGGTAAATGCAGGACTTCTTCTGCTACAATACAAGTTTTCGAAGCTGAATTTACATCAGTGTGAGTGAATGCGTGTGTGTGTGTGTGTGTATTATGACCTCAGTTCAAAAGATTATGTTACAAAAATAAATTTCAGTCTCTCACAACATTTGCTTTCTCTCATTTGAACATGTCCAGTAAAGTTCATTGCAGCATTATTCTTCATGATAATGGCGATTGAGATGACTAAGAAAAGAAATAACATAATAATTAAAACATTTAACTATAGGGACAAAGATGATAAAGGCATGATATCTTCAGTTTCATCATGAAAGCTTATTAAGATGTTGCTCACAATGACGATGACGATAATGATGAAAAGTTCCACCACAAGGAACCTGTTAGTTGCTGAACTGAGCGCCTCCATGTGGCACCATCTCCGTCACTCCCCACGCCACCATGTTCCCCCTCAGATCGTAGCCCTGACCCTCTCGCAAAGCCAGCTGGGAAATCTCTTCCTCTGACAGCAGCCTGTCCCACATGTTCACTCCTGTCATCTTCCCCACGAACGCCACCTTTGGATCGAACCCTTCCTCAAACCCTGTCACCCTGCTCCCGCTGCTTGGAGACAGAGGGCAGCAGCCGTTTCTTTCTTGCCCCAGCTGGAGTGAGCCTCCGTCGGGTAAGACGTGTCCTTCCGCCACTCCGGGTGTGGAGGCCACCTTTTTCCCACCTGCCCACAGGGACGCCAGGCCCTGCTTGGATGACCAAGCCCCGCACAAGTGGATCCACTCTGAAGCGCCTCCTGGTTTCACCACATCTCGGGCCTCCACCAGGTGAGCCTCTCCTCCGACGGTGAAGAGCGCAGAGGTTTGACCCAGCAGCAGCTGGATTTCATATGGGTTGCGACGGTTCCCGTAGGAGAACAGCACGGTTCTGTTGGACACAGTGGTCGGCTTCACCCACATGCAGACAGTAAAGGCGGAGATGGAGAGAGGGCCGTCTGGTATGACCGAGGCGTAGATCCGACGGGAACGCATGGGGAAGAGGAGCGCCATCTCATAACCTAAAAAAGAAGACATGTTTGGTGTTACTTGTTAGTATCGGTGATTGATTTTACTTGAATCATTTGTCTCACAGAAGGTTTTAGGCATTTCATACAAGCAAACTTGGTTAGGAGACTAGCAACAGCAATATTTTTTAAAAAGCACTAAGTTAGAAGTTGATTGAAATGATATATAAACATCAGTACCAGACATCCATATATGGCTTTGCTGAAAAGGATAATGTGCCCATGTCTGTTTTCATAAGGGAGGTTTTATGTGCAGGATCGCATATGATGATTCTAAAGTCATTATTATTCAACTGGAGAAAGTTTTAGCCGGCCAACATTTGATGTCCTCAAGGTTGTTGTTTCCATTTTGGATCGGGTTTGTTTAAAACAGTTTGTTGTGAAACAACATTCTGTATTTTTGATTATGATACTTCCTGGTATAGAAGCATATAAATAGAGATAAGACATGGGCCCGCAGTTGAACCTTGTGGGACTCTACATTAAAAGCAGATGGCTTCGGTTCCACACTGTTTAATATTAAGACGACTAATTTAAAGCTACAGCTAGCTGAAGCTATCTAGACCCTGTCGTATATTACCTTCTTGTAGTTGGACCGATCACCAGATACAGGGAAATGCATTTGTGAATTGGATTGGAATATATTGTTGAATAATATGGATGAATGTCTTTATGTAAAATAGATTTGGAATGCTTGTGAAGCCACACGGTGCATTCTCCTCCCGTTTTGAAAAGGTACATATATGTGGCATTATTACAGTAAATATGGAAGTCAGTTCAAGTTCAGGTGATGAGGTCATGAACCATGGGAGTTTTCTTTCCTGCCCGAACAACGCATGCACACACTCACACACACACACACCTCTCCCTCTCTGGATCATCTGGTTCATTGGTCTGTTCTGCTTCATTTATCATTTCCCCTGTCCCTCTCTCCTTTTAATCATTCAAACATACTCACTCGCTCACTCTCATGTACTCCCCTCTGAACTCACTCTACATTGTAAAACCTACTTTTGTTGTTTAGTTTTTTTTGTACATAAACAACAGAGAGAATTTGTGTTTGATACCTGACGTATTCCTTTAAGCGAAGCCTTTCTGGGCAATTTATCCTTCTGGAAAGCTATTGCTTTTTGTCTCACTGTGCATCTTTTGTTTTTGTTCTTCTTCACTCTCCTTTCTATTCTTTTCTCATCATTATTTTTCATCTCCATTAGTGTCTCTTCCTCTCCTTGTCTCTCTTGGATACCAAATAATTGTCTCGGGTTTCTGCCACTCAGAAAATAATGGCGAACATGCTGAGTGTGTCTGTCTGCGTGTGTCTGTGTGTGTGTGTGTGTGTGTGTGTGTGTGTGTGTGTGTAAATATGATGGTTTCCATCTGGTTCTGCTTTACCAGTGTGCTTTGGTGTGGATTTTGTGGTGACCGGCTAATGATTACATCCCCCTCTGGTCTTTATGTAGGCCAGATTTCTATTTCTGGACTGTAAAGGTGTGAGTAATATAACATATCCTTTTTTTTGCAGTCGTTATTTGATTAATTCTTGGAAATTAAGTTGTCTTACTGACATGAGTGGTGCCTTTGTGGGACTCAACTTGGTCCAAGTCTACCTACTCACCCTTAGTCACTTAATCTCTAAAGTTTCATTGGTATTAGTATTAGTCAGTGTTTTTTCAAGTAGTAGCTCTGATAATGCAAACCATATGCCGTGCTGGCTTGAATCCGAGAAGAATTTATTTGTGTTCACAGTCAGTCCAGCAAAAGTTCTACATTATCCTTTCCTGCATTTATTTTCTTCCATTATTATCTTTATACATGTAAAAGTATCTTTAAATAATTATGTAAATCAATGAAAATAGCTAACGGCAAAGGTTTAAGCTTGATAAATGATGTCCCACTCTGCCTGAGCTGAGAGTTTGAGTATTTCTGTTGTTGTTTGATGACTCTAAAATGTGTTTCAAATAAATGTTAAACATCAATAAGAGGCAATAAGTGAACATTATAGAACGGACCCCATACCATCCACTGGCCCGTCTTCTCCATGTTTGACTAATTGTGAAGGGAAAATGATAGGTTGCTACTTAACATGCCTGGAGACATACAGAATAAGAAGGAATAGGTATTTGGGACAACCACAAGCTGCATGATTAGTTGTTGAACGTTCACAAGCAAAGGGTTCTCATTCTTTTGCTCGAGGCGTGACCTGAATGTGTCAACACGGAGGAAAAAAATTGAAGGTGGAAGGTTGTTTTGTTGGCATTGTTGAGAAAGGTGAAGACAAACACAAAGAAAGCAAGAGGTAATGACAGACACAGAGTTGGCTGATGTTAAGATGGATGTCTCACCTGCGGGTAGTAATCTTTGCCTCGATGACCTCAGCACCTCCTCCAGTTCCACCCTCGTCTGTTGCATTGCTGCCAGCACCCTGTCTAAAGCCACCTCTGGTGATGTGACCTCTTGCTCCTGGAGCCCTGCCTCTCCATCTTCTGGAAGCTGGGATCCTGGCTTTGTATTCAACCCCATCCCGGCTCCTGGGCTGCTAAGGCAGCTGGTCTCCAGCTTGGTAAGTCGGGAAGCTTGCATTCGTGCTGCGGAGAGGAGCTCTTGTAGCATCACCTCCGAGCGGTTAGAGACAGAATTCCCAGCAGCAGCAGCAGCAGCAGCAGCAGAAGTCGGATCTCTGGTTTTGACGCGCTCCATTGTTTCTTTGAGGCGGCCCTCCAACTGCAAGGCCATCCTTCTTCCTGCTGTCTCCATTGCAACCCCACAGGAGCCACCATACTGGGCTCCAAATCTGACCAAAAGAACCAATGTAAAAGATTTGAACCTTTTCAACTGTGTCAACAATCCTCAGCAACCAAGGCTGCATTTAGCACCACCACCTGGAACCGACCTTTGTTCCCAATTCACTCATAAAACCATTTGAGTTTCGGAACGGGAGGGATTCAGGATACTGGTCGTAAGTTGAGCTGAAGCGATTTTCTTTTAGTAATCAATTAGGTAAAATCCAGTTGTCCCCGCCTCTCAAAAACAAATATTTGCTAGTTGTCTATGATGGTAAAATGCATACATTTGTATAGACCAACCGTTAATCGATGGATCAAGAAAGTGTGTATATATATCGAATGAGAATAATCATTAGTTGCTGTACCTCCATGGATCAAGATAGCAATACTAGTATTTGCACTTATAAGTTGTAGACTTTGATCACCAGTGTAGCAAACCTTTGAGCTCGAGATTAACTGATTTTTAAGTTTCATTTGAGTTTCAAACCTGACCTTCTTACTATCGTGACTTAGTTGCTCTTTTCACCTTCTTAGCTTGACTTGTGCATCTATCATGAAAACTCATTTGAGACGGTAGTTTCTCGGACCTCTGATCGCTTTGTCCAACCAACCTGAGCATTTCTCCACGCAGCGAAGCCATCTCCACCTTGATGATGTCACCTGCATACTGAAGCAGCATGTTCTCTCTCATCTGACTGTCTTCCAGCATCGAGAAGAGTTTGTCCCATTTGTTCAGGTCTCGAGAAGTGCAGGGGGCTTGACTCTGTGTGGCTGGATAGAGGGATTGTAAAAAGAGGGAGAGAAAGGTAATCTCAAGATCAAACGGAAGATGAAGTTGTTTAGGTTTCAACAGCATGCATGTAGAGAAGGATTTCCTTTTGACACAACTGCACTTCCTGAACATCCCCCCATTATTCTCTTCGGAACTACAATGTCCATAATGGCTACAAAGTTGGTACAACTAGTTAGCAACTTTTGTAGCTTGTATTTGTTTGCATTTGGGCAAAGTTATAAGGAGTGTCTTTATTTCTATGATTTCTAAGCCAGTTTATAGATGTTTATTTGCGATAGACTTTGGAGAAAATGATATACTCAGAAAGTGTTTATGCGCTTTTATTATATCTGTTTGTTCAGATTGGACTGACTTATATTTGCAACTTAAGAACCGTAAGAAGAAAGACAGAAACATACTGTCGATAGCTGAAAAGCAGGTAAAATGAAGAGTAAAGATGGGGACAAAAGAGGAAATGAGGTTGTTAGCGGAGCGATAAGAGAACGTGAGAAAGAAACGGTACAATTGACTCATAAACAACTTTGCTTTTCCGGCAAGATCATCTGGCTCCTCCCGGCGTGAATGAGGAGAAAGAAGGAAGGAAAAGGAAGGTTTTGTTTACAATGAAAAGGAAAGAGCTGCTGAAAGTAGGAGCGAGATAAAGCAAAGCCAGGGGAGTGAGAATGTGTCAGACACACTGTTCTGATTAACGTTTGAGCCCCTCAAACTCTGTTTATACCTGCAGACCTATTACAGGGTATTATCACAGGACTGCAGGATGTGTTTTGTCTGCCTGTCCCCAAGGCTCAAAGAGAATTAGACAGAAGGTTCATGCACTCTGCTGACGCCAACTCACCAAACTAAAAGTACAGGTCTGTCAGAGGTTTAAGAAGGATAGATCCGCAAATGAGCTGAGTGTCTGCGAGTGAGTACTGTCCTTTAGCCTTCTATCATTTTAGAAAGGCAAAATGAACTGTGTCATGACCTCTCTGCCTTTGTTGATATAAATTCCACTCCGTCCTGAGTTTCAGAGATGCGAGCAGGTCAGAAGCACTGATCTGTGTCTTCCTACGGGCCCCTCTCTCTCTCTCTCTCTCTCTCTCTCTCTCTCACTCTTTGTCCCTCTCCCCTTTCTCACACAGCTGCATACAAAACGGCATGTAACTCACGTGATTTAACGTTTTCCTCCTTAGTCCAGCAAGCCAATTATGAAATGTTGTATTTCTTCAACCTTATTGCTCCCACCTTTTTCTCTGCTGCGCCCCGAGCTAAGTTTTCTGCCTGTTAACTGTTGGCGCTGCAATTATACCTCCCGCCAGTTTTAAAACAACAAACAAATGCCAAATTCAAGCTTTGAGGGATTCATTGCACGCACACAAACGCATGCGCGCGCACACACACACACACACACACACACACACACACACACGCACACACACACACTTTCTTATCAAGATCATCCAGAACAGCTGGGAGAAGAGTTTCATGATGAATACAGTATACTGTCGTGGTTCTGCGGTTGGTGACCAGTCATTCATGCTGTAATATGTGTTGGTTGAAAAAGCCCATTTTTCTGACTCAGCATTTTCTTTGATGCTGCTCGTCTCATACAAAACTCTGTGCCTGCCAACGGTCTGTGTACTCAACATACTGTGATCTCTTAGCTCTGTCTTTTTCTCTATCTTTGAGTTTAAGCTGCCGTAGCACATCAAATATAAAGTAAGCACAAATCCAAAACAACAAACTGCCTTAACTGTATTTTTCTGCAACCTGTGAAGCGGCTACTGTGCAACTGGACCCCAACTGTTCCTTTATTTCCCCTCCGTCGCTCAATGTTTCTTTTTTAAATCATAGTCCAGCACTTTTTTGTCAGTTTTAAGGTCCTGCTCGTACGGTATATTTGTAACGGAGTTCAATCTCAGTAATGATACTGAACATAAAGGGATGATGACTCATAAAGTCCTGAGCTCACCTTTCACACAACCCCATGCATGAATCCTGCAAGAAATCAATGACACGCTCCCAGAATTGAATTCAATTGCAACATTTCCATCTGTGAGTCTTAATCAGATGAATCACCCCAATGCACACACGGTTTAACACTTACGTTCTGGTGTCTCTCCACCTATGATTTCATTGTAGAAGGGGTCAGCGAAGTTGACCTGAATATCATCCTCATAGGCCAGAATCAGACACACGCACGCCGACAGCGCACACACTGCCTGGGGGAGCCTCCACTGGAACATGCTGCTGCTGCTGCTGCTGCTGCTGCCGACTGAGTGTGTGAGAGAGAGTGAGAGTGTTTGAAGAGTGTGTCTGGTTAAGTTTCAGGTCTGCTCCTCTTCCTGCCTGCTTGTCTGTGTGTGTCTGTATGTGTGCGATTATCTGTGTGTGTGTGTTATTTATTTATTTTGATCTCTGCTGCTTCTCCCTGTGTCTCACTCTCTACAGTGCTGCAGGTCCACCTCTCTTCTTTTTCAACCCCTCGCTCTCTCTCGTGCAACATTTGTCCCTCCTCCCTAATGACTCCCCACCTCTCCCTCTCCCTTTTTTTCTTTCTCTCTCACTCTCTCGTTAAATGCTGAGCAATCCTTTGGCAGGAAGCTTGGCAGTGTAGAGTCCTTCAACCAAAGAGGGGAAACGTGCGCTACACACACACACACACACACACACACACACACACACACACACACACACACACACGTTTATAATACTATACAGTACTTTCCGTTGATTTACTGTATTTATCTATAATCTTAACCAGCAGACCGTAACCCTCAGCCCTGCATACTTACTCTGAAAAGATAAATTTGGATTATCGCAACATGGGTCAACTCAGCAATAAATGCTGGGAACACGGTGACTTTACTACAGCAAAGTCTGACGGGGCAAGAAACACAAGCAGTCAGGCAATCAAATGGGTTGTAATCAGGCCAACATCTTAGTCAGACTATCAAAACCATCATTCTTTCAGATAAACCCAAAGTGTGCATCCGAAATGTTAGTTATCCCTCACTACACAACTAAGCTTTTCTGTAGGAGCACAACCGTGGCAAACACAGTCAGTCAAAGTTGAATGATTTCATCATTTGACTTCAGTCTCTCTTCCAAATCAGTTTCGCAAATACGGGTTTCTGATCAGAAACCCGTATTTGCGAAACTGATTCCGATCAGACTGCTTGCGATTCATCTCACTTCTTCTTAGCGATGTTGTCCCAAGAGGCCCGTTTTAGCAAATCTACAAAATGCAAGTTGGGATTTTCAACAGGCGATCATTTCCTCTTGTGTTGATTTGGACATGTTTTCACTGATCAAAATAATCACAATGTACCTGTGACCCATGCACGAGGATGCGATAGGCCTGAAAGACTAGTGATCTTTTTTTTAACATGACGCCAACACCACCACCTGCTAACTGTGTGCAAGCAGTGCTCGCTTGTTGAAATGGGCCCCAGATCTCAACATTTACTTTGATCAGTACAATATTAAAACCAAAACGGACAAAAGCCTCACCTACAAGAAGCTTGTAATAAACCGGAATAATTCCTCAACCCCAAAACTAATCCTTCTACAAACCGTCACTATAAACCCAAGCTCTAACTCCGAATTGTCTTTGATCCATACTAATCTTGATTGCAAGTTTAGAATGAAACCCTTTTATTACACAACATTATGCAAACACATGAAGAGTATCCTGTGAGTAAGTTAGTAAATGTTCAAAAAGCTCTCTACATTTTCCATCCTTGTGAAAACATTTGGCTCTCACAAGTATAGAATGTGAAAGCGGCGCTCAAACCTACAAGTGAGGCGGTGAGTAATGCGTCGTTGGAGGTAGCCTGTATGTTGTAATCAGATATAACTGCAGCCCCTTGACTCACTGAGAGAAAGAGAGAGAGAGAGGGAGAGAGGGAAAGAAGTAATGGAAGGGGGAGGAAGCAGTGAACACAAACTTTCCTGATTTTTGCCCCATGCAGAGATGGTGTGTGTGTGTGTGTGTGTGTGTGTGCGCGTGTGTGTGTGTGTGTGTGTGTGTGGAGGGAAGTTTGAATAGAACCCAGACATTAGGGGTTTCTAAATGGGTTTATTGTTCTCCTGCTTCGCTCTATTTACTTATTTATTTATTTGTCAGCCTCACCATGTGGGTTTGTGGGTATTTGTGGGTGTACATACTGTATGTGAATTTGTATGGCGTGAGTTTGTGTCAGTATATATCGTGTGTATGTGGGTGTTTTCAAGGGGGAGGGAAATAATGACTTCCTCATGAGATTTTATCTCGCTCCCCCCTCCCTCCATCTTTCTGTCTGCCTGTGTCTCTCTTTCATTGTGTCTGTTTTCTTTCTCTCTCTCTCTCTCTCTCTCTCTCTCTCTCTCTCTCTCTCTCTCTCAAATACCTACTGAAACACACACTTGTTCACTTGTTATCTGCATGGAACAGCCTTCTCATTCAGACTGCTGCTCAGACGGAGATGGAGTTGTGTGAAGTGGCAAAAGCTACTTTATTTAGTTCTCTACTGCCACTTGGTAGAACACAATATTTATTTAACCTGCAGCCAGTTCATTAAAGCTTTTACATCTTAACAGAAAGTATGGAATTGAATTATTTTTTACGAAGCATCTGTGGTATGCTATTGACAATTTTATCTTCGAGACTGCTTCTGTCTAATAGTTCTTTCTCAGTAAATAAAATGATGCTAGGGCTGGGCTGAAAATGCATCATGATGTTTAATTTCAGTCGATATTAATAACCAATAATCACTTTTAAAGACCTACTTTAATAATTACCAGGGAAAAAAAGGTAGAATTTGAAGGTGCAATGTGTAAGATATGGCCATATTTCTAGTTTAAAACGTAAAAAAAAAAATGAATTGACATTATCCACAGAATGTGAAGAGGTTACAGTGTTGATGATTTGTCAAAAACGTGTATGGTGTTGCAGCGATATCTGTAGCGTCCAGTCTTCCCTCAGTCCAGAGAACAAAGCACTGATCACGGCTCTATTTTTGGCGAAAATACTGGCGGGAAACTACGTTTTTATAATCGCTGCCATAGTTTGACACTGTATGACTTTACAAAAATCAGAGACAAAAAACTGAGAGACATGCTGACGTTTGACATTATGTGTTTGGGGGAAATTATGAACTAGACTTATAACTGCATGTATGCTGAACTAAAGGTGAAGTGAACTGGGATTTAAAGCATTTTTAGCTGCAAGATTTCATTGAATAAAAGTTAAAAGGGCATTAAAACAGAGTGGTAGTGTCTGTAATTAGACCAGAAGATGCACATCCATTTCATGAGACAGGCGCGTTTGAGAGGGAAGAGTAGATCAAAAGTTGGAAACAAAACTCCCGCATGCTGTCTAACTTGCAAAAATACATTTGTTACAAAAAAATGTTTGCTAGATCTTCATCAGGTTAGTCATTTCTGCCAGTACGTTGGATTGAAGGGATAAAGCTATGCCTTTTTATATACGTATATAGAAGTAGAGGGATATTATAAGCTTAAAGATAAAAAATTAAAAAAGACAACAAACACATGTTTGGTTATATGTATGAGTATAAGTATGTGTGTCCATGCGTTGGGTGTAAATGTTTCCATGTTGTGCTTTCAGCCTGCTACCTGAGGTAGGAATCAAGCCAGCAGGAAGTTTCTCTGATACACCAGTAAAGAAATCACATCAGCGTGTGTGCATGTGCATTATGCACATGTTTATAGCATTGTGTATGAGTCATGGAAGGCAAGATTCATTCATGATTCACCAGTGAAATTATTTGTCTCCTCTGCATATTTTATCACCATGAAGCATCAAGTCAGAAAGCACAGGACATTTTGTTTCACACAGACGGTGAGAGTTTGTACGGTTGAAGTTATCTGGGAGAGAGGGGGAGGATGGTCATTGAGTTTAAACTGTGCAAGAGACACTCATGTGTGTGTGTGTGTGTGTGTCTATGAATTGCACTGCCGCACATCTGGTCTGCCGTTATGATTTTCACTGAATGGTATGCATATAAAATATTTTTATGCATGAAACATTTTGAGTATTGTGTACACGAAAGGAAAATCCCTCCGTCTTTTTTGCTCTCTGGATCCCCGTCAGCTTCATGTGGTGCTGAATACTTAAAGGTATTTTACTGTGCTGTAGGGGGGGGGGGGGGTCACTCATGCAACAACAATGCACAGAATTCCAAAGATATATATTTTCTGGGAGATGTTTGACCCCTGTCTCTGCTTTTGAGTTCTCCCGCCCTCTGCCACCAGAGGTTATTCGAGCTGTGTGATATATGACTTTAGGGACAAACGCACACAAAATGAGTGTTGGGAAACACGTGTAAGCTGTAAAGCTTCCAAATACATCCCTTTGGCTATCATTCGTGCTGATCTCTGCATTTTTGTCCTGTACTAAACGTCCCGTGCATAAGAGTTCAGTTTCTTTTGCCAAGGTATGTGTGCATTGTGTGTTTTTAATGGAATGTTCCCGTATTTGTCAAAAATAGAGCTGCAACTACATGAACAGCAGAGCAAAAGAAAGCCATCGTGCCCTCTCCTGCCTCAGCACATAAAGTTAACAATAGTTTGACAGATCACTTAGTTCTCATTCCTCTCGGAAAATGTTTGATGGGCCTTTCAAAAATGTCGCCTTTGTGTGCTACAGAACCAAAGGTCATTACAGGATATTTTATTGAGATTTGTAACTCATGATGATGGGTTGGCTGTATGCTGGAATGAAGGTATGAAGGTCAGAAACTGTACGCACACACACACACACACACACACACACACACACACAACCACACACAGAGGGTGCTGTAGGGAGCTTCAGTGTGAGTCAAGTAAATGAAAAATTAAATATGAGACAATAAGTATATTTAATCAATAATCAAAAGAATATTTTCACGTCTCGCGTGTATTGTCTGTGTGTTTAGATGTGGGTGAGTGTGCTCTAATAGATACGCTCTATAAATCCTCCTCAGTGTGTTTCTGTGCAGACTCTCGTCTCCTCCGGCCTTTTAACATTCCTCTGAACAGACCTGCAAAATGCTGCAACCACAACTTTATGGTCTTTCTGTACATGTACTGTGCCTGTCTCTTTTTATGGTGATTTGTGCCATAAGTGTGGAGATGGGTGTGTGTGATCTTGTATAATCTATGATTACAGGAAATGAAAGGAACACATGAGCCAGCAACCATCTTTCAAATTTGTACTTTATGTGCACTCTTCTTCCGTCCTCTGCCTCAGCACAGAACAGAGAGTCCTCTCGGTTGGTCAGCATCCAGTTGTCTGTAACAGCATAAAACCTGTGGTTAAAGTGATTTATAGCCGTGAATAACCTGTTTGAAACCATCTCTTTAGGTTTTTTAAGCTTTTATGAAATATGACAAAAGTTCACCATGAGCTGCTAGCTGTTTGAAATGTTATGGACCAGATGTTCATGATGAATAAAAATATGATTAATGATCATAAATACTGTAATTTCGCTTCAAGATGTCAAGGCAGTTCTGCTGTTACTACTTGAATTGAAATTAATAGCGGCATGGCTCCTGGGATGGCTAATATCTCAGCAAGTAACGGCTGGACTTTAAACATTATTAATATTCCCCTCAGGATGAACTGTAATAACTCTGGTGATCCCTCAGCTGTTCATTTTACAGATAATCACATTCCAATGAGCCTCAGCTGTACTTCGCTAATTAGCAAATGAGAGCAGGCTCACTCTCTAAACTACGATGGTGAATACCAATCACCAATTATGAACACCACTTATAATTTGTCCATGGTTTAAACCCTGCAGCATCTTTAACACAAACCTTTATTCTGATGACGCCATGAGAATATTGCTAAAGAGACCGAGATGGAGCGGTACTAGTGAAATGTTTGTGGCTGCACGAGTCAATACTTTCCAAACTGTGTTAAGAAATCTCATGTATGAATGAATTTGTCGACTTAATGACTCTGAAAATTAGATCATATTAGTTTTAACCAACATAAGGTTTAGTACCACACGCTACCAGTCCCAGCTGTGGTGACATTGTTACAGCTGTCTCTTTGTAAGTTATTGCTAGGCCTATGTACTTTTATTGTTTGTGTATGTCACTTTATGTATTTGTCTTATATGGACCCTGAGTCTGAAATAAAGTCTATCTATCTATCTATCTGTTTGCCCCTTCCTGATTTCTTATTTTTTTGCATGTTTGTCACACTTAAATGTTTCAGATCATCAAACAAATTTAAATATTAGACAAAGATAACACAAGTAAACACAAAATGCAGTTTTTAAATGAAGGTTTTTATTATTAAGGGGAAAAAAAAATCCAAACCTACATGGCCCTGTGTGAAAACGTGATTGCCCCCCCCTGTTAAAACATAAATTAGCTGTGGTTTATCACATCTTTGGAAAGCTGAGTTCAATTTCTCTAGCCACACCCAGGCCTGATTACTGCCACACCTGTTCTCAATCAAGAAATCACTTAAATAGGACCTGCCTGACAAAGTGAGGTAGACCAAAAGATCCTCAAAAGCTAGACATCATGCTGCGATCCAAAGAAATTCAGGAACAAATGAGAAACAAAGTAATTGAGATCTATCAGTCAGGAAAAGGTTACAAAGCCATTTCTAAAGCTTTGGGACTCCAGCGAACCACAGTGAGAGCCATTATCCACAAATGGCGAAAACACGGAACAGTGGTGAACCTTCCCAGGAGTGGCCGGCCGACCAAAATTACCTCAAGAGCGCAGCGATGACTCATCCAAGAGGTCACAAAAGACCCCAGAACAACATCCAAAGAACTGCAGGCCTCACTTGCCTCAATTAAGGTCAGTGTTCATGACTCCACCATAAGAAAGAGACTGGGCAAAAATGGCCTGCATGGCAGAGTTCCAAGACGAAAACCACTGCTGAGCAAAAAGAACATAAAGGCTCGTCTCAGTTTTGCCAGAAAACATCTTGATGATCCCCAAGACTTTTGGGAAAATACTCTGTGGACTGACGAGACAAAAGTTGAACTTTTTGGAAGGTGTATGTCCCATTACATCTGGCGTAAAAGTAACACGGCATTTCAGAAAAGGAACATCATACCAACAGTAAAATATGGTGGTGGTAGTGTGATGGTCTGGGGCTGTTTTGCTGCTTCAGGACCTGGAAGACTTGCTGTGGTAAATGGAACCATGAATTCTGCTGTCTACCAAACAATCCTGAAGGAGAATGTCCGGCCATCTGTTCGTGACCTCAAGCTGAAGCGCACTTGGCTTCTGCAGCAGGACAATGATCCAAAACACACCAGCAAGTCCACCTCTGAATGGCTTAAGAAAAACAAAATGAAGACTTTGGAGTGGCCTAGTCAAAGTCCTGACCTGAATCCGATTGAGATGCTGTGGCATGACCTTAAAAAGGCGGTTCATGCTCGAAAACCCTCCAATGTGGCTGAATTACAACAATTCTGCAAAGATGAGTGGGCCAAAATTCCTCTACAGCGCTGTAAAAGACTCATTGCCAGTTATCGCAAACGCTTGATTGCAGTTGTTGCTGCTAAGGGTGGCCCAACCAGTTATTAGGTTTAGGGGGCAATCACTTTTTCACACAGGGCCATGTAGGTTTGGATTCCCCCCCCCCCTTAATAATAAAAACCTTCATTTAAAAACTGCATTTTGTGTTTACTTGTGTTATCTTTGTCTAATATTTATATTTATTTGATGATCTGAAACATTTAAGTGTGACAAACATGCAAAAAAATAAGAAATCAGGAAGGGGGCAAACACTTTTTCACACAACTGTATCTGTCTGTCTCTCTGTCTGTCTGTCTATCTATACAACTTCTATATTAAGCTCCAAAATGTCACTATGGTTAAAAATTAAATTTGCAACATCTCTTGTCAGGCGTCTGACACAGAAGCCATTGTTTGAAATCTTGAAATGTCACCAATAATGAACCTTCCATTTGAAAACAAGAGTCTTTGTTCAGTGAATCACTTAAAGATGTTTCATACATGAGTCAAAGGCTGTTGGGTAATGTCGTGGGTTTTTTTTTAGGCTGCGTGCTGATTTAAAAATGCCTTTATGTCCAGTCATGCGTCAGCACTGACTTTCTTTTTTCCTGCATCATCTTCATTGAAGAAATATTGACAACAAATTGAAACAGTTCTATTTACTGAACACAGATGTTGTGTCATGACGGGGGGTCGTGTGTGTTTTCTGAGGGAAAATGACAGTTACAGCAAATATGCATGATGTTCCAGTAAAGCTACCCCACGAACAGCTTAAAGGAAAATTCAGGTTTCATGCCACTTGGGTCTGTTTGATAGTTATGGCCTTCAGTTTTCTTCGTAGTAATATACAGAAATTATAGTCACCAAGTTAATTGTTGAAATCTGGGAATGTGGCAACATCAATAACTAGTTGCAGATAAGTAGTCTGATGGAGTAGTTGCCAGTTTATTAGGTACACCCAACTAAAACTAATGCAGTCTAACACAACAGACTTGCAATAGATGTCACTTTCACTAAATCATGTAATTTGCTTTCCACAGAAAGGTGTTTTTGTTATTTGGTCTACCCTCACAAAGTAATAACATCGATCAGTGTAACGAAAAAGACGGGGATGTTGTGGGGTATTTTGGGAAAATGTAATTTCTTGTATTTTGGGCATTTTGTAAGAAAATGGAGTGGACTTATGTCTCCACCTCTACTGTTAACACTGGTCAACAAACCTCGTTCTACTTTTTCTAAATTTGACCCTTTCACTGTCAAAATGGTGGTCACCAAATTTATATTTGGCAACGAGGTTTACTGAAAGCAACTCTGACTCTTATTC